CCGGCAAAAAATTCTAACAGATTTTGTAGCCGAATGCTCAAAGACATCGAACCGCGGTCTTCTCATCTGCATTGAAGGCGGTGTCATTGCCTTTGGTACTTTGATTGCTTACTGGATCGACTATGGTGCATCTTACGGTCCCGATGACCTCGTCTGGCGCTTCCCCATCGCTTTCCAGCTTCTCTTCGCCATCTTCATCTGCGTCCCCATGTTTTACCTTCCCGAGTCGCCCAGATGGCTCCTCAGCCATGGCCGGACCCAAGAAGCTGACAAGGTCATTGCTGCCCTCCGTGGCTACGAGATCGATGGTCCCGAGACCATCCAAGAGCGCAACCTCATTGTTGACTCCCTGCGTGCCTCTGGAGGTTTCGGCCAAAAGAGCACTCCCTTCAAGGCCCTCTTCACTGGCGGCAAGACCCAGCATTTCCGTCGTCTCTTGCTCGGTTCCAGCTCCCAGTTCATGCAGCAAGTTGGTGGTTGCAACGCCGTCATCTACTACTTCCCTATTCTGTTCCAGGATTCTATCGGCGAGTCCCACAACATGTCCATGTTGCTGGGCGGTATCAACATGATCGTCTACTCCATCTTCGCTACTGTTTCCTGGTTCGCCATTGAGCGTGTCGGTCGCCGTCGTCTGTTCTTGATCGGTACCGTTGGTCAGATGCTCTCCATGGTCATCGTCTTCGCCTGCTTGATTCCCGACGATCCCATGAAGGCCCGCGGTGCCGCAGTCGGTCTCTTCACCTACATTGCCTTTTTCGGTGCCACCTGGCTTCCCCTCCCCTGGCTCTACCCCGCCGAGGTCAACCCTATCCGCACCCGTGGAAAGGCTAACGCCGTCTCCACCTGCTCCAACTGGATGTTCAACTTCCTCATTGTCATGGTCACTCCCATCATGGTCGACAAGATTGGCTGGGGAACTTACCTCTTCTTCGCCGTCATGAACGGCTGCTTCCTTCCCATCATTTACTTCTTCTACCCCGAGACCGCGAACCGCTCGCTCGAGGAGATCGACATCATTTTCGCCAAGGGCTTCGTCGAGAACATGTCTTACGTCACTGCCGCCAAGGAGCTGCCTCACCTCACTGCCGAGGAGATCGAGTCCTATGCCAACAAGTATGGCCTCGTCGACCGCGATTCCAACGGCGAGGGCGGTAACCGCCATGACGAGGAGAAGACACGCGACCGCCCCGACCAGAGTGACAGCGACTCCCCCGCTCACGTCGAGATCGATGTTGTCGACGAGCACGGTGTCGAGTCCGGCTTCGGTGATGGTATCAACACCAAGGAAACACGTTAAAGAGTTGAAGAAAATCTTTCATCATAACATGAGTGGTTTGGGGGGAAAAGAAAAACAAAAATTGAGGCGATGATTGATTGGGCTATGCAAATGAACGACGAAGGATGACGAAGAGACAGAGGGTTTTAACGACCACAACCCTTCTGTGATGATACCCGCCGGGTTTTTCGGTTTTTTTTTTCCTTGTTGCTGTTGGAATCTGTTCAGTGATGATTTTTGACGATTCCCAGCACCATTATTTTTTGGTGGTTTACTGGCTCCATCTGTGGGGCTTTGTTTGCTGCTTTTCTTTTCCTTTTGCACTTAGCATTATACCTCTGGCTTGATGGTTCGGTGTATAAATACCCTCGCATATACCCATGGAAGTCGAGTACTTTGGTAGATAGATGGACTAGTTATATGCTAGATCTCTTGTATCCCATCTTGAATACAAAAAAATCATTATAAAATACTTGTCTGACCACTCAGTGCGTGTATTCAGTGCGTGTAATACTTGCGAAGATGTGTGACGGGTGGAAGGCGCATCTCATAATTTTTGGGTATTTGGCTGGCATGACACGCCCGGGCATTTTCTCCATCGTTGCTTCCCATCGTTTCAGATGTCTGATCTGTCAGAAGCAGGGGATGACTCGAATTACCGACCGACCTCGAATGACAAACGCCCAAGTGAACCACTAAGCATTGAGGTTTCTTTGTGATGCTTGAGCTTACAAGACCACACCCAACAACGTAGCCGTTGTTCACATACGCGCCGCTTGAACAGCCAACCAACGCCTTTGATACGCCAACAATTTCTCAACGTCCTTTGATCTTCCCCATTGCTCTCATCTTGGACGCCAATTCCATCAAGGGCGAGCTTTGCATAGGTACCTACTGGTCTGACCTGACTGACCTCATCGCGGTTTCAAATTCGCAGTGGGCAAACATAACCCTCCATTCAATGTTGGATGTACATGTGCACCTCTCACATCAACTCTCCCAGGAACAAGAACCCGAAGTTTTCACTTCGTTTCAGCGGACCCCTATCCGCCCATGGATGCGCTTGCAAGTTTCCATATTTTCCCTCTCTGGCTTTTTCCCAGACTTTTCATTGTCGTTGGAACGAGTTACGATGCGGCGCCTGATACATGACCGAACCAGACTTGACACGATGGGCGTCTAATCTAATCGATCTCGAGATGTTTGCCCCCATGGCTCACCTTGCAATATGTGAAATGCGTTCGTTGCTATATATCCTTGTCCTGGTGACCAGCCCATTGGTAGGCTCAAGTCTTGTATAAAATATCGCGTCCGGGACCCTTGTATCTTGCCTGAGTTCCCTTCTCATCGCTCATCACGTCAACTCACAAGATGGTCCACGTCAACAAGTTCAGTACGAGCACGGCTACTGCCGCACTTCTTCTATTTACCAGTGTCCAAGGACACATGGTGATGCGAACCCCACCTTCCTACAATCTTTACAAGGGAGATACACTACTTCAAGTCGATCCTCTGGATGGAGTGAAGTACCTGTACCCATGCCAAAATCGCTATGAGGCCGGCAATGCTACCACACTCAAGGCAGGCGATGTCCAACTCGTCCAGTTTACCGGCGGTGCTCAGCATGGCGGCGGCTCCTGCCAGTTCAGCGTTTCGTACGACGACCCAGAGAAGTCGAACGGATCATGGAGCACATCGGCCACATTCAAGACCATTTACACCATTATTGGCGGATGCCCGGCGGAGTTTCACGACGAAGCCAATAACTTACCTACCGAAGGTCGCCCTAAGGATGCGCAACAAAGATTGAACACCGATTTCTGCAACAATGATTCTGGCGTTGACTGCACTCGAGAGTTTCTGATTCCTATTCCTGACTTGTAAGTTCACTTCAAATTGAGGTACCCAATGTTAGTAGCATCGGCAGCACAGTGGCTAACTCATACACACTCACCTGATGCCATAGTCTGCCACAAGGTAAAGCAACCTTTGCCTGGACGTGGTTCAATAAACTTGGACAGAGGGAGATGTACATGTAAGTTGTTCTTTCTCCCGCTTTCATCAACCCCTCTTTCCACCTTTCTCCCCGCCGTACACAGCTCCTTCCCTATAACCATATCCACTACCTTGTCCCCCCTAACGGACTTTCCCTCACATCAATTTGCCGACCAGACGCCAAGTACTTACCTACTTACTAACCACTGCCCCTCTTTCCCAATTGAAACAGGAACTGCGCCCCCGTCGAAATCACCGGCGGCCAACCCTCTCCCGAGAAGTACGAGTCTCTCCCCAACATCTTCATCGCCAACATCCCCAAACAAAAGGGCATTCCCGGCTACGACGGCTGCGTGACCGGCGGCGGAGCAGCAAACGTCGTCAATATACCCAATCCGGGCAAGTACGGTCGCATCATCAACCAGCTCAAAAGACCATTTAGCAAACCTGACCCTGCTCCGGCTGGGTATAATTTGGGTCCCAAAATTGATAATGATACGCTGCCCGTGTTCGAAGACAATCCCAAGACGATCAGCAAAGGCGGTGCAGCTCCTACTGGAGGAGAAGAAGAAGTCAACGCTGGTACTACTTCTGCTTCTGTTACTGTCACTGGCACGGTAAACCAACCGGCTGTTACCACCACCACCACCACCACCTCCGCTTCAGCTGCTGCTGGTACCGAGACGGCGGTCGCTCCTATTTCCAGTGCCAGTGCCAGCGGCACGTTCATCACTGCCCCTAGCGATGAGCTAGCATCAACTGCTACGGCTAGCGCTACCGGTGCTGCCGAGTCCGACTCCGGAGGAGGGAAATGTGATGATGCTAATGCTACCGAAACTGGAGCTGGGGATGGAGAAAAGACCACAATAGAGGTAACGAAAACCATGACCGTCAAGGTAACGGTAACTGCCAATGTTCCTTCAGGCACTTCAGCTTCAGCTTCTGCTGGCTCTGGTTCTGGTGGAGATGAAGGTGGCTCAGGAGAACAGAAGAAGCAGTGCGAGAAGGATCAAGTAGCCGTCTGCTTCGGTGATGACTTCTTTGGCCTGTGCGCTAACGGGTGGGCCGTTCCTCAAAAGGTCTCTCCGGGGACGAGATGCGAGAACGGTTCGTTGGTGTACTCGGCGGTGCAGAGAGAGGGTGGGAAGAGGGCAGAAAGTTATGCGGCAGGCGAAGGGCATGCCAGAAGGCATTTAAAGAGGAGGAGCGGGAGGCCGCTTTGAGTGTTTTTTTTTTTCTGGAAGGAAGACAGGGTATGAAGGACAAAGAGGGATTGGGAGATGCTAGGCATGTGACTATGAAGGAAGGGATGGATATCTCAAGGCATGTAGGGTCAGTCTTGCTTTTTGTACTGCGTTACTTTGTTTCTTCTTCTTCTTCTTCTTCGCGTAGGTAGAGGTCCTGCACCTCTCATTGTTGGAAATGTTATCAGCATTTAAGGCTCTTTATTTGATATATGTGCATGATGGAGCGAAGTGCAACGGGCGATCTCACTGGTAAATACAAAGTTTTCCTAGCACGTACATTTTTGATCATAACTGACGGAACCAAGGTATCTGATAGCAGGTATCTTATAATTCATTCAACAACCTATCGTTATTAGTCACTTGGATGTATGGTCAATCCTCAAATATGTCCCAAATGCAAAAAGCCGCCCTGACCCAAAAACCCAAAGTAACGCGAGGAGCCAAACCCAAGACCGAACATTCTACCATTACCTAACATCTCAAATCCACTCAGGATACTCCCTCTGTCCTACAAAGCTTTCATTCCAACCACTCTTCCAAGGCGGAGGAACACATACACGCTTGATACTCCGTCTCCTCGAAGACCGAGTTCCGCTCTCGTTTGATGAACAAGCGGAATAAGCAGAAAAAGAAAGAGTAGGAATAGAAGAAACCGAAGAAGCTACAGTCGGACAAGAACCAGCTGGGGTCCATATCCCACTTAACTCAGCCGCACTACTATCAACCCCAGAACCCAAAGAAGAACCTGTCTCGACGGATTGCTGCTCCAAAGACAAGAACTGCCAACTGACGATTTCATCTTCGATCAGGGCAATGGTATCCTCTGAACTGGCTGAGGCACACGAAAAAGCGGGACTTGCCTTCCTTACCGGTAGCAGGACCGGCGGCGCCGGGGCTTGAAGACCTTCTTCCAAAGCAGCTAGAGTGACGGTGTCCAGTGGCAGGCCTGGCCTCTGGTGAAGTTCATCATCTCTATCTCCATCTCGATCGAGAGCTTCAAACGTCGGTGACACGCCCAACTTCTGCAAGAGGGCATGAGATTCGGGCCATCCGGTCAGGAAGGGCGTCAGAAACTCTTCTGGGACTTGATCCTGGAAGAGTCTCTCGCCTCGTTCCACGAGCCGGGACAAAACCCAGAGGATGGCGGTTGCTGATTCCTCCACTTGGTGGGTGTGCTGCTGCTGCTGCTGCTGCCCCTGCTGCTGGTGAGTATGAGTGTGAGTGTGCGTGACAGCAGTTACGAACCCCTCCATCAACATCTCCAACAGCGCAGGGAGGCTAACCACAGCCGCTTGCGTCTTGAGCACCTTTTTTTCTGCTTCGGCCCACGTGCCTTTGACGACGGTCATTGGCATTCCCGCTCCCATCGTTCCACCCAATCCACCCATCCGCTCCGTAGTCTTGACCACCACTGTTCTCACCTTCCCACCATACTTCCCGTCCCGCTCGGGAATAGGAACCTCAAAAGAACAACACCCCTTGACACTGGAAACGACATTCGACGTCCATCCCTGCGCTTTTGCCCAGGAGAGAATGATAGGTGCGTCACCTTCGGGGCAGAGGATGCTAACCTGTTCTGGAGGGGCGTCGGAGGACGGATGGCGGTACCCCCACACGTAAAGAGCGGCGCGGCCGCAGACGGCGTAGTGAGTGTGCCGAAGAGCCTTTTCGAGGAGGGTGAGAAGGGTTAGGAAGTCGGTTTCCTGCTGCTCGCTTCCCTGTTGTCGTTGTTGCTGTTGTCGTTGTTGCTGTGCGAGGGGTTTGGTTTGTGTTTCCTTGGGAGGGCCTTGGGACTGAGGGGCGAATGCTGACACCGAGAAGGGAGGCATAGGGTCTTGCAAGCGGGGAAGGCGGGGCTTGAGGTCCGGAGGAGGCAACGAGGCAGCCAGTGCTGATGCGGGCCAAATAGGAATACTCTTTTGGTTGGCTTCAACTTGCGCTGTGTTGTTAGCTTGAGGTTCTTCTGGTTGGACACCAAGACTGTCAGGGATTGACATCTCTACTATCCAACCACATGTATTTATAGCTAGACTCTTCCCCCTTCTACTTCCATAGCTCTTTGTACTACAATGATTACTTGTACCTACCTACTTGGTTGGAGTACCTTTTATAATCCCTTATTACCTACTACCTTCTAAAGAACCACGCCGTAACAGTTTGTAGCACCTTCACAACAGCGTGCACTAGCGTTCATCTCTACAGCTACGGACACCTTACTTGCCTCTATTCACAACGACTTCAATCAACTTCACAACAACTCAAACCTCCCACCCAGTTATAAACATTCTAAAATACTTCTAGAAAATTCAGCTCCCCCAATCTCAGCCCCAGCCTCAACTAGTGTCTCAATCCCAACTTCAGCCCTAGCCTCAGCCAGTATCTCAGTTCCAACTTTAGCCTTACGAACACTTAATACAAAGGAAAAGCACACATTATATTGACAAGATATTAACTAATAATCAAAATAGATTACAGCACTAAGAACGCTGTACAGCTAACGAAGCTAAAAAACTATACATTACAAAGACAGACTCACCGACTAACTACACATCACAAGACCGAACTCACCGACATAACCCTTATTAAAATTGAAAGAAAAGTGATAAGACATCATGCGAGCAAATAAGACATAGCTCCTTCTGGGGCTCACCGCCTCCACTATTACGATAATTACAATCCTCTTCTCAATACCCCTCGCCAAAGACCTTCGCCTTTCGGATAAAGGCCCCCCCCTCTTCGCGGATCCGAAAGTCTTAGGAAGCTATTACGTACATTATCTTTATTACTACCCCTACTTAGATACTCTAAAACCCTAAGACCGTAAACCTCCGGATAAACCTACAACTATAGACGATAATACCCACGCCCCCGCCCCCCCTACCTACAATAACAATACGCCCTTTAGTATTAAAGTATTCCTCGTAGGCAATTTCCTTATCGTTCTTTCAACTCTACTCGAACGTAACTACTCCGCTAATACCAGGGCCCTCTTCGAGGTTCTCTATAATATGCCTAATACTAGCCGTATCCTATTTAATATTTTTAATAACCTAAATACTATATTCAATTAATTGAATATTACTAATAATTAAGGATAATAGTAGAACAATTTCCTTACCGACTAGGTAGCAAGCCTCTATAAGACTGTCGTTTGCTAAACTGGTGAAATATAGGGTTTATAAATTGCTATAGGCAACCGCAATTTGAAAATTAAGGTCTAAAACCCTAATACTTTCTCGGGCGACGAGAACGACCCTAAGAAGCGATAAATCTAATTCTACTTTTAATACTCGGGTTACGAATTGAAGTTTAAATTCGAAAAAGATAATTACCCTAACGAATTTAATTGTATATTCTATATTATTTCTCGCTTTGACGGCGGAGCCCGCAACTCCGTACAACCTTATATTGATATTATCCTAAATAACGAAGAGAACTTCTTAATATAAAATTAGTAGATTGTTTCTAACCTCTTTTTATATTTATAGTAAATATATAATTTTATTAATAAAGCCGTCCAAACCGCCTGCGAAATAAAAGAATTAATTTAAAGGAATACTAACTTTAATATTTTTATTACTGAATTTATCCGTATCGTTGCCGAACTAAATATATAAAATACTTACTATATTTCCCAATTGAAGATTAAAATTAACTTTTCCCTACAATATACGGTAGCTAATATCTTCCCCTAACCGTTATCCGACAATTTTATAGTATAAATTATACTATATTGCGGCCTCTCTAAAAACTAAGCGGACCTTTAGTTCCGACTATCCAAATATACTAGCCGCCTAATATCTATACCGCCCCTACCCCGCAACCCCAACGCTATAGATCTTAACGCTCTATAATTTAATAAAATTTCAGTAAACGAACGCGAGCGGCGCCTCGCCCTGGGACTATACTTATATTACAGTCAGCTGGAATATACTAAATACAACTGCTCCGTTATTGCGACTAACAATGGTACACCGCGCCAAACCGCGTCTACGAGCTCCTCCCCCAACCCTACCTCCTAATCGCGCTTCCAATTAACTTATTGTAGTACTAGTACTTATAATAATAATAATAACGGTAATAACAACTAGTACAACGGCGGAAGTAACAACCTATACTGTAATAATAGTAACAATAACCGTCCCCCCGCACGGGGAAGCTTTAGACCGAATAATTAACAATTATCAACGTTTTCGAATAATAATAACTCTAGCGGCCAAGGTAATAGCAATAATAATAACAGTCGGTACCGCGTCCGCGCTTTTAAATAGGAGGATAAGGAAGACTTATTAATCCTCGAGGATTAAGATTATTTCGACCCCGCAATATACGCAAATAACTACAATTACGAAGATAACCGCGACTATATATAGCAAAACAGCTATAATAAGCAGGTTAACGACTAAGGAAACGAGTAAATTCCGAGCAAAGTCGCCCTCGGAGTAGTAAGGACCCGCTAGAAATCTACTTTAGAGAATTAAAGCTCAACTCGCTGGGTCCTAACGTATATACAAACTCCCTCCTTTTATCTATTACCCTCTCCCAATCTATAATCGCCCTATTCAATTCCAAAATATTTATTAATATAGGTTATATAAACCTTACTTTTATTAATACTAATCTCGTTTAAGAAAAATAATTAAACTTTTACAAACTACTTTAATTAAAGACGTTACGTTTAGCTAATAATAAGAAGACTAAAGATATTATGCACTTTATTGTTTTAACTGTCCGAATTAGTATATATACTGAGCAAATCCCTCTATTTGTAATAAGGCTCAGCCTAAATAACCCTATTATTCTCAGCCTACCGTAGTTTAAAATCTATAACCCCTATATTAATTAAACTTCTAATTTATTTACTTTCAATTTATCCTTTTATAACCGGTTGTATTTTAACGGCCTCCTAGCTATTAAAGTCGGTAGTTATTACTACGGCCGCCCCGACGGAAGAAGAGAACGCTTTCTAATTGCTTAGTTTTTAAAAATTAATATACTAAATAATATTAAAATACTCTCTACTACTAACTTTGCCTAGTTTTACTAATAAAATAACGTCTAAATCGTACGCGTTTACCTAGATTAATTAGAAGAATTACCTAACGAAAACGTTAAAACTAACGACCCTAATTATTTAAACCTCTCTAACGAAAAATTCTATAATATTCTTAAAGAGATAGAAGATAAGGAAATACTTTAAATTAAATTAAACCTATAATTTTATTAATTTCTCGACTTCTACTACGATAAATAATTTTTTAATGTGTAAAGTTAATGATAAGGATGTGAATAAATTTATAAAGTTAAAAACCCACCCCTCCGAAAATGAAATTAAAGCCAAACTACCGAAAGAATACTACAACCTTATCGCCGTCTTTATAGCCCGCTCCACTAACAGCCTACCCCTATCCTAACTATACAACTATAAAATCGACCTTAAGCCTAGAAAAGAGCCGCCTACAGTTAGAAACCGACTGATATTATAAGCCGAACTCCAATATATAAAGAAATAATTAAATAATAACCTTAATAAGGGATTTATTTAACCCTCTACCTCCCGTACGGCCGCGCCCCTCCTATTAGCCCGTAAGCCTGACGGAGGAGTCTGAATTTACTAAAACTACCGTGGACTAAATAATATTATAATTAAGAACTAATACCTACTCCTACTCATTTGTAAAACTCTCGACTCCCTTTATAATGCAAAGATTTATACTGGATTCGATATTATTACTACCTTCAATAGAGTCCGTATAATTAAAGAGGACGTTTAGAAGACCGCTTTTATTATAAGGTTTAGCCTTTATAAAACCCTAATAATACCCTTTAGTCTATATAACGCCTCGAATTTATTTTAGAATTTTATTAATAATATTTAATATAATTACTTTAATCGATATACTTCGGTATACTTAAATAATATTATTATCTATTCGAAGAATAAAAAGGAGTATATCTAATATATTAGAACCGTCCTTACTAAATTAACCGAGGCCGGCCTTTATATCGATATTAAGAAGTACGAATTTTATACTATAAAGATAAAATACTTCGGCCTAATTATTACTATAGACGGCATCCAAATAGATTTAAAGAAAATTAAAGCGGTAATTAAATAAGAGCCTTTAAATAATATAAAAAACTTATAAAAATTCTTCGGGTTTATTAACTTCTACTGACGCTTTATTAAAAGATTTTCGTCGATTACTAAACTTTTAATAACCCTCCTCCGAAAAGAGAATACTTGGAAATAAACTGACACTTATTAAGCTGCCTTTTAACACCTTAAAGACTCTTTTACTAATATGGATATACTCGCCTACTTCGACCCTTCCGGTAGGATAGTAGTCGAGATTAATACTTCCAATTAAGCTTCTAGTAAAATACTATTTTAATATAATAATAAAAACTGCCTACGCCCTATAGCCTATTTCTCTAGCAAATATACAACTACCGAGTGTAATTATAAAATATATAATAAAGAACTCCTTACAATTATTAAAATTTTCGAGGAATAGTACCTAAAATTCTAAGGAACCGAAGCGGATAAATTAGTAAAAATTATTATTAATTATAAGAACCTTCAATACTTTATAACGACTAAATTACTTAATTACTAATAAACCCGCTAATCCGAATTCTTAAGCTAATTTAATTTCCGTATTATTTACTAACCGGGTATGTAAACTATTAGACCTAACGTTCTAAACCGCCGCTCTAGTAATTCCTCTACTTTTAAACATAATATATTTAATAATTGTATTACTAAATAAATAATCCGAATCCTTATAGATAATAGACTATCGCCGGGTATAGTACCTATACGTATTTATACCTTTAATATCTCTCAACCTCTTAAGGCCTATATTAAAGCTGCTTATAACGCCTCTAGAAATGTTATAGGGCATTCTTAGTAGATACTTAGATACTCTATCTTATTATAGCAGCCGCTTACTAAAGCGTATAGTCTATTATATAAGAGTATTCGTCCTATTAACCTCTATTAAGGTTGACGGATTATTAATTAACATTATACCAACCTTACGTTTATTTTACTCATACTTAGTAAAGTTGTATACAAGGTCCCAAATTAAGGCTCGCGATAGCTCTTATCTTTAATTTCCTTTAATAAGACTATTATTAACCGTTACATACTATTACTCTATTTAATAACTAATTACTTACTTTATTATTCTCTATTATTATTATTTATAAAGTATATTATCGCAAAATAAATAGTACTTACAATTCAATTTTAAACCGACCTTATTATTTCTTGCGTCTCTTTCTTTCGTCGAAGGGGGAGATATATTAAATATAGTAATAATTTATTAAATTTATTAATTATTATTTAGCTTTTACCCTTTTAAATTAAATATTTATACTTTCTACTCCTTAGAGTCCCCTTTCTTTACTACTTTATTACTACTTAATTAAATCTAAAGGTTAAATTAAATAATATTAAAGACCGACTAAGCAAACCCCTAAATAGCTTTTACTTTCTAGGAGGAAAGTCTAATACGTAAAGTATATTAAATTATTAAATTTACTATATTCGAACCGTAACTTTATTATAAAGAAAGATTTTAGCCTCTAACCGCCAAATTACTTATCAAAGCCGTATAATTATATTTAAATAAAAGAACCGGTTATATCGAAATTAAATCCAATTAGATTGCCAATACTACTAACGACATTTATAATAAGGAATAGATCGTTAATTTGGACGTAGCAAATCGTAAAATTTAATAGACTTTATATAAATATTATAATTTAATTACTAATTATCTAGTTCTAATACGCTAAATTTAGAAATTTACTATTAAAGAAGGCGTATTAGTATAATTATAGAAGAAAAATTAGAAATAATTTATAACCCGAATTAAGGCGAATAATATTACCGTCTATACTATTATTTAAATATTAATTCTCTCTAATACTAGTAATATTAGTGTTTACTCTTCGTTAGTAAATTTTTTAAATACCGTTAAAACAATTAATATATTAATTATTATTGACCTAGTATAAATTCTTATATTGCTTTCTTTATTGCTTATATTTATAAAATAATACGCTTAATTAAATTTAATTTAATAACCTTTCTTACTTATTAAATTAATAGTCTTATAAACAAATTTAATTATTGAAATTACTATTAATATTATTCAATAATTAGTTACTAATCCTACTATTAAATACTTTAGAAATTTTATATAAATTGAAACTCTCTTACATTTAGCGTAAAAATAATAGTAAAAGTAAGTAAAATAATACTTAAGAATTATCTTTATTAATAATTTTCCGGTATACTTTATTAATTAAAATTAAAATACTATATACTTTACTTAATATAATATAAAAACCGGAAGTAGATCCCTAAATCCTCTATTTTATTTTATGTAACCTATTTAAAACGCTGTATATTTAATTTAAAATAGTATAAAGCCTGGCTTTAGTCTCTTAATATTTACTACCAAAAGGTATATCGCTTCTCAACTTTATAAAAATTTTATAATTTATTATAATTAATACTTTAATAGTCTTATTAATTTTATTAGTAAAACGATTATAACTAATATTAAAAACCTATATAATACTATTAATTTAATTAGTTAAATAAAAAATCTTCGTATCGACCGCGTTAACCGGCCACCTTTATTTAATAATATTAATTAACTTCCTATTTATTTTTATAAATATATATATATACCGCCTCCGGCTATTAATTATTAGGTTTTTAGTTAAACCCTACGGATAAACCCTAAAGGGTTAATAAATTAAATTCCGGTAAACGAAAGACAAATAGAATAATAAGGAATACTATTAATAATAATAAATAATAGCGGTTACTTTCTTCTAATTATTTTAAAGGTTCCTATACCTTCTATACGTTTAATTTTTCGCTAGAACATTCATCCTATTAATAACCCCCAAATTATATACTTTAATATTAATTCTAATACTTTAAACTTATTAATTAAAATTAATAGTAATAGTATAATAATAGATAATTCGGCTCTCTATAAAATACTTAAAGATTTATATAATTGTATTGAAGAATTAGAAGATTGGAACTAAACTTTTACTAATTCTATTTTGAAGGTTAATACGGGTGTCTATTAATTTATTAAAGAAGAACCCTTTAAAATTATAGATATTAAAATATATTTCCCTAATATAAAACCGAATAAGAAGAAGAAGGGGATATATTAAAATAATAAAATTAATATTTATATAACTTTTTACGGGTTTAAAAATATAATTAAAGGGTATTTAAAGGATTATTTAGAAAAATACTAAACTATTACTAATAACTTTAATTAATTATTCTATAGTATAATACTATATTAATAGAATTTTACCCTTTCCGAAAATAAATATAATAACCTTCGTAATAATTTTAATAAAATTTTAATACGTTTAATATTATATTCGGAACTAAGTTTTATAAAGTATAGAAATAATTAAATATAAATAAATTTACTATAAAGTTGTATAAAACTAATAAATAATCGCTTTATAATTATTTGACCTAATTATTTTAGGATATTTATCTTTAGGAAAATATTTTAGACTTCTAATTATATATTCGCTTATAGAACAATTTGTACCCAATAATGTAAATTATGTATATTTTTCCGGAATAAAATATTTATTTTAATAATTATATTAATAGAATTAAATAGAAGGTTATATTAATATATTAATAATTTCTTAACGTATTAAAAAATAGCTAGTTAATTTATTATACGGTTAATAACTTTAATAATGAGGATAATAGTTTTAACGTCTATACTAATTTTTAGAGAAATTATAATAATAATAAACTTTTCTAAAAGAATTTCTTATCCTACAATAATAGGTTTAGTAGTAAATTAAGTAGAAAATCGTATTTTAATAAGGGATTTAAAAACTTTAATAATAAATTTAATAAGTACGATATTAATTAGTTAGGTAATAATAATAGTTATTAGTATCGTTAGGGTAAAAAATTTGAATATTATTAAATTTTGTAGGACGGCCGTTATATTTATACCTCCGCTATAATAATCTTTGTAAATAATTCTAATATAAATAATAAAGTTTATTATTTATAAAATAAAAATTACTATTTTATTAGTAATTTCGAAGAAGAAATAAAAGAGTTTATAATAGATACTTCCGAAGTTAAATATAATAATAAACCTTCTACTTATTTTACTAACTATTTAACCCCTACTAAACCTTTATCTCCTAATATTTCGTCGTTTTATATTCTTTTATATATAATAAATAACGAACCGATAATTATTCTTAATATAATTCCTATTAAAATTACTAATTTTAATAGGCCTATACAATCTCTATTATTAAATTTATTATTTAATACTAATTCTATAACGATTTTTAAACGCTTAAAGAAGGTTTAAACGTTTTATAAATCGTTTAATCCTTTATTTAATAATTAAATAACCTCTACTAAAAATAATTAGAAGCCGTTTAGCCGGGTCGGAATATTAAGGAAAATAAACGTCCAAATAAATTTACTAATATTAATAAACGGACGGAAGCCTAATTTATCGGAGGTTTAATATAAAAACTAATATATATTATTTACTTTTATTAAAGGGTAAATTATTAAAGTAATTCCGGATATTACTTTTAAAAATAGAGAGATAAATTTACGAAGAATTATATTATATTTATAGGTCGATATTAAATTTAGCCCTAATATACCTATTATTACCGTATATCTTAATTCGGATTATTTATTAATAGTAGTAAATAAAGTATTTAATAAGTAATTTTCACTAAATATAAAATATATAGTAGTACCGCCTAATATTATAAAGGGCGTTAATTCGAAGACTATTATTAATATAATTGCCGAATTTAATTTCTATATAGAAGGAAAGGTTAATAGTATTAAAATTAATAGGCATTTCCAAATATCCGCTTTAATTATTAATAAACTAGGCCCGAATATACTATTAAAAATAAATTTCCTTCGCTACTATAGTACGAAACTAAACTTTAATACTATTCTATATTCTTTTAAATCGGTTTTTAATATAAAAGTCTAAAGTAAAATCTATTCTAAAAGAATCGAAATGGGGGAGGACGTTTTAAT